ATTTTATTGTTGATTTTAAGTTAAAAAATTTAATTTCATAAAACTCTTATAAATGAAAAAAAAAAAAATTGATTACTTGCTGCGATTTAGGAGTCCAAATTCTGAAATTTGTCTCAGACCTCGCGAAATACAGGTATGGCTCTGGGGGCACAATACCACTAAGAACGCAAGAAAAGGTATATCATATATTTGAGTGATTCTTATAGTAGTAGTTTTTGTTTGAAATTCTCATTTAATTTGAAATATGTTGATTTTTACAGAAGGCTTGCAACTTTTTGGGAGTAAAAAGCGTTGATTACTGTCTTGATATAGGAAGTTATTATGGAATATTTTTTGCCACTTGTAAGTCGAATCACCATAGTATGTATGTCGGCATTTTACATGTGATTTGTGCATCTTTGTATGTTCGCGTTGGGGATGCGGATATTATTGGTTGATATGTGAAGTTAATTTAATTCTACTGGGGATAGATTCATTTAAGTATGAATAATTCTTTTCTTTCCCATTATCTCCTCGTTAAATAGGGGATTTTTCAAGGAGTTGATTTAAACCGTAAGTGGAGAAGCGCAGGAAATGTTTATAATGCATCTGAACCCTCCGTTAAATCTGGCTTGATTCAAATATCAAGGAAAGACCTCCCCAGTCGATATTATAATCACGGAATCAAGGCTTCACAATTGATTCAACCATATTAATTTCTAAATTTTATTTTTAAAACGAAGATATTCCATTAATAGCAAAAACATTGTCAGTGTTGTTTACGTTAGATTTCTTAAATTTTTGCGGGTGTTTAAAAAAAATTGTACATGTAATAGCTAGTTTTTGTATAAATTAAACTCCATCTCCTTTAAAAGTAGTTGATCCCAAACTCCAAGAAGGGTTTCAATTTTTTTATTTAATAAATAAATGGGTGAGCTCGTGGGTGGCTTGGCGTGGTCCATGAGGCCCATGAGCCAATAGGTTGAATCGAGCCACCCTATTTTGTACTATGAGTCACAAAAAGGTCGAAGCACATTCCTTTCCCTTTTTGGGCCGGGCTTAAAGAGGCACAATTCCAAGTCATGTGGTCTTCAGTCTGGTGGAGATGTTTGGCAAGTTTCATATGTTGAATTAGATGGTACAATCGGTTATAAATATGACTAATAATGTTCACAAACACAAAATTGATCGTTATTTAAGTGTTTTGACAGTAAAAGCATCTAAATAAGCTGATAATTGTGGCATCTAAATATTACGTATTAACAAAGTTGACACCATAATATACTTATGAACCACCTCGTTTAAGTACTTAGTGATAGAAAAACATAATAGAATTATCGATCAATACAATAATCAAATCCTTAATTCTCA